TAGGTAGGTATTAATAAATATTAAGCATTAACTATAGAAATAAAACAGCAACTTAATAGTTTAAAATCACACGTCTAGATTATTTTACAGATTCCTCTAGCAAATGTATCGCAGCTTGTGCAGAAGATGGCTAAAAAATACTAATTTTATAGCTGAATGTAAGTTCTGATCATATTAGAGTTAGTGCCGGTTCATCAACGTAAGTTTTTTATTTTTAATAACACAATATCATAGCTTAATAAATGGCTTTACGTAATGTGTTTAAGTTAAAGCTAAAGCAACTAATTGCCTTACAATAAGATATTTAGTCTCATCAAATAGTGCATCATTAAGACTTGGGGAGGCTCAATTTTCTGCATCAAAATAACTCTTTAAAGATATCAATTACTACTCATCGAGTACAGATAATATAATTATAAATGGTTGGATGGATTCATCATAAGTTCTGTATGTCGGTTCAATATAAATATTGACTAATGAAGACCTGAAAACAACAATTTTTGAAAAAAATGTTGGTTGGTTAATGAATTTTGATCCATTTCTCAGTGAAATAACAATAACTAATACATTGACTAGTCTCTAATCAATCTCCAATGAAACTCTAACCTATTCTACATTATCAAATTTATTTTCCACGGCTTCATTGTTTATTCTTAATAATTCTTAGTCATCAACATAGGCTATTACATATATTGTACCTTAAATTCTATCTACTTCAATAAAGACAATATTTTCAACTACTGTATCTAATTATATTTACACAATTGGAAGTGCAGCAATGACTATTACAGTTCCAGCTTTTACTCTTCAATAGACGTGCTCAGATTTAGTGTTCAAATACACTAGTAATATTAGTGCTGTATCTGATTTTGTAATATTTGATTCCAGTAAAAGAATGTACACTGTTTCTTCATTTAACTAATCTTACATTGGGATATATACAATAAAAATGCTAGGTAGAATTAACCATGAGTAAAGTGCTGAAGTAGCATTTTAATTAATTATGATAGGTGATTGTTCATATGCATAAATAGCTGGAAATTCTCAGCCTAATATAAAATACAAGTTGAATGGAGGAATACAAAACTTTTCACTAAATACTTTTAGCATCAATACAACTGGCTGCTAAATAACTTATACTTTATCAGATACTTCACTTAGTTCTATAACAGGAACTTCTAGACCTAGTCTTTTTACCTTCAATTAAACTTCAATGGTTTTAAGTAGTAATCCAACTTTGAGATCCTAAATTGGAATATACAACTTAAGTCTTGATGGAATTTTATTATATCCTGCATTAGACGGAATAATCAATCCAAAAAGCCTTACAATCTATTTTTTAGCCAAAATACAAGATGAACTGTGCGTTGAAGCTAATATACAAGTTGTAACTCCTTAGATTAATGATATGACTTACATATATGAGTATCCAGAGATGCAGTAATTGTATAGTTTTGAAATATAAGGTGATGAAAATTGCTTAATTGAGTACTAATTAGTAGATGATTAAGGAAATCAAAATTCATTTCCAATAGTATTTGATAACACAAGCATCAAAATTTAGATTAATAACGGAGATTATGATTTAGCCATATTATATAAAATAATTGCAAGTGTTAAGGCTACAACATTGACTTATGAAACTAATTTTTTTACTATAGAATTGATCTCATTATAAACCTCATGCTTCACAGTTATCAAGTTCCAATTTCTTAGCAAGAATTGATGAATAACTTTACTTACTCTTTGAATTAAGGTAAAGTTAAATTGACAGATATTACTTGTGTTCCTGAAAATATTTAATGCTTACCATACCTCAGTTATTATAAATCTATTATTAAAATGCCCCCAACTGTTCAAGATCTGATATGGAATGATTTAATTGCAGATCCTTTTACAGTTGAAAAGGATGGCTAGAATTACAATTTTAATGCATTTGCTAATACTTAAACTTTTAATCTAAGCTTAGCAAACGAAGGAAATTCAGTTACTTTTGAAATTCAAATAAGGATTTAATTAGGATCTTCTTCCTACAAAAACTGTACTCATGTATTCAGTGTAACAATTGATGACACTCTATGTTTGAATGCTGATTTGACACCAAGCACATTCAATGAACAAGGTAAGTCTCTTTTGTTTGATTTATAATAACATCTATAGTTAGCTAATACACAATAGGAGATTCAGCAATAATTTTGACTTTTAATTAATGGAATGATGAATTATTTAAATGCGGAGCATATGAATATACTATGGACTACAGCAATACCTTCATTTCAGACAATTTTGTTAAAGCTGATCTCACAGAAAGGTCAGTTGAAATTTATGGAGCAAATCTAAACATTCTTACCTAAGATTTCACAATAACTCTAAAAGGAAGCATTTATAACGGTTGATATGCATTAGTTCATAAAACGATAAAGATCATAAATCCATGTCAAGATTTAAAATTAAGTTTAATCTCAAATAGTAAGATTACCTATTACTTAAAAGATAGCATTAATGAATTTCAACTCCAATAATCTACTTTGAACTAGACACCAGATATAATCTGCCCCTAAAATATAGAGTACTTAGTAAGAGCTATTTTTTCTCCTTTCCTGCCATCTTACATTAATTTGATTCGGAATTCAGACTCTACTTACAAGATCTAAGTTTAATCAAATAATACTAGTTCAATGGGAGAGTATGATTTTAAATACACTGCAAAATATATGAATCAAACGGTTTCCTATATATTAACTCTATAAATCAAAGAAAAAATTACTTGTGATGGCATATATGCGCCTTAAATTGAAGATTATACTTACAAAATAGGTAGCGGATAAAAAATATTTAAACATGAAGCTTTCCACACTTTGCCGATACCTAATGTTTGCACTAACTTAACAATTATAGGATTTGTAAATGAAAGCCTAACATTTCCATAATTTATTCATTACAACCCTTAGTTTCAGTAAATTTCTGTAATTTCACAAGATATCAAAGATGAAGGGGAATATTTAATTACAATTAGAGGATACGCTTCAGATTACAATTTGAACTCTACATTCATTTTGATAATGCTCAATCCCTGTAAGAATGCTATCATCAAACCATCTAAAATAGATGATGTTCTTTATATAATTGGCTCTGGAGAGATGCAAGTAGCATTTGCCTCTTGGAAATCTACAAAAATATTTTGCAATCATTTTACCTATGAAGCCCTTATTGAAGAAAAATCTTTGCCTGTAGCAAATATAGTTGATTTTGATTCTAATAGTAGAACATTCAAAATCAGAGTTGAAGATAGTAAATTAAATGGTAAACATTACGTGATAAAAGTTATTGGAAGATCTTACTATGGGCTTCAAAGTATAGAATTCTTATTGAAGCTTAGAAAAAATATAGTCTAGGTAAGTTAAGTGGATATTTTGGAAGGAAAGATAATTGATCTCTCTAAACTTAAAAATGACCTGTCAGCTTCAATTAGATAAATTTCTATGGATGGATAAGTTTAATTAAAATTCTCCAAGGATATGCTGAACTTTAATGATACAAATGTTTTACATGATAATAAGACACTAATTATAAGAATTGATTAAAATGATAATATAACTATAATTAACAATTGGAAGGTAATTTCATACAAAAACAGCATAATAAAGATTCAGCTCTATTTTGAGAATCCAAACTTAATATCTTTCAATCAAGTAAGTTAAATTAAAAATAACAAATTTCAGAAATATGATAATTTGCAGATAACTTTTAATGATAGCAAGTTTTATATTTCGAAAAATCTTGATTAAATCATTAAGTAAAATTATGTAACTGATAGTAATATTCCACCACAAAGTTAGAATTCAAGTAAGAAATATTTATATAAATGCTTATAGCGGCAATAAAAGCACTTGCTGGACTGGCTAGCTTTACAATTACGGGATCGTTTACAATAAACTTGATTCTATCCATAGTATTAGGTATCAGTATGAAAAACCTTTGGATGCTTCTGAATACATTATAGATACTGGTTATGATCCCTTTGTTATAGTTATCACTTCCGACTAATATAACAATAATGTGCAAAGCCCTTATAGATATTGCTAATCTTAATTTTATTCCAAAGGACACAATTAATGAGTACGTGAGAGAATTTTTATTTGAGACCAAAGGTACTTTAAAATAAAACATAAACTTTTTTATAATGGATATCTTTAAACAATTTAACTATTTTTGACATTCAAATGATTTCTTATCTAAAATTAAGTTTTGAGTCAACTAATGTTTTAGAGAATGTTGGAACAGTATTTATAGTGATTATTATTTTAGAAATTTTTGGGCTGATTTTAATCTTTCTTTATTCTCTAAATAAGAAATATTCGATGTAATTTAGATGATTAAGTTAGATTTTATGCTTAGATTTTAAAAGATATTCTAATTTTTATACAAAAGAATATGTTATAATGCCTTTATAAGATCATTAATAAAGGGTTACTTAAATTTTCTAATAGCTACCAATATTGGTTTGCTGAATGTAAAGATATTTAAACTCATAATATTAGTAATTAATCTTCTAATTTAGGCAAATGGTGATGATGTTTTAAATACCATAGTTGCCATTATTATGTTTCTTAGTTTGCTTGTGATTCCTTTCATTATATTAAACTTCTTAAGAAAGCATCTTTGTAAAAATAAAACTGAATTTATTTCAAATATTAGATGAGTTGCCGAGATAGGAATTTAAGGATAAATATGGATCTCTTTATCTAAATGTTGAAAGATAATAGGATATCTATATATTCCTATTCTTTATGAGAAGATTTTTGTATGGAGTTTCCATAAACTTCATTGGATCCTATCCATTTATTCAAGTTTTTATGTTATATTTTACTAGTTTGGCTCTTTTAATCTTTCAATATTTCTACATTCCATTCGATACTAAAAATCAATAATTTTTTGAGATTTACAATGAAACTACTATACTTTTAGTATCATATTGCTTATTTCCTTACACCCAAGATTATTTTACTGAAAATTCACTGTAAGTGCATTTTAATAATTATTGTATGTTATAGAGAACTTAGGACAAATCTCGGATGGCTAATAGTTGGGTTCATAGGCATTAATATTCTTTTAAACTTATTAAATCTGGCAGTTTAAATATTACTTTTCATCTACCTAATGATTAAATGAAAACTTCTCATGAGAAAGATAAAAAAGATGAAGGATGAGCAAGAATAGAAAAATGCCTTATATATGAAAATGGATTTCGTTAAAACTATGAATCATTCAAAGAATTTATCACTTGATTCATAAAATTCATTCTCAAACATAAATTTTGATGATGTACTCAAAGTCGAAAAGCAAACCAATGGAATATAATAAACTAATGAAAAAGTAATGGATTTAAGAAAGGGAAGAAAATCATTGTAACTAATTAAAAGTCTTATTTTCGCCAAGCCTTAAGAAAAAACTAAAGTAAAATTTAATTAATCAAAAAAATAAGTATCTACTTACGATAGTTTCCCGTCAGTCTAAAAGAAACTTAAAGAATTGGAAGAATTAAATCGTCCTCGAAAAGTTGATATTAATAATACTACTAAAAATTGGGGAAAATTCACTAAATCTGAAAAAAATAGATGATGGATCTGATTATACACAATAAGATTTGCTACATGCTGATTTTGTAATGCTATAAATAAATCATTCAAGATGTAGATTACATCTGAGAGCATTTAAATTAGAATATTATTAATGACATTAATTTATTGATAATAATGTTAATTATCTCCTATTGGGGTTTTGGGGTTTTGGGG